ACTATGTCCAAACCGTATGATTACCTATCCGAATTCAGCCATGGACATTTCGTCAGTGCTACGGCCCTGTAGTGTGATATCGGTACTTATTCTACACGGACTAATAAGAGGAATAGAGTCCCGTGTCTTATACGTTGGTACAATATGAGATTCTCCCTAATCAGGATGTGCGCAGAATTATATTACTGTATTAAACAATACATAAATTAATCACGTTTTACTTAAATTAGCAGTGAAAGTATGTCTCTTTGAATAAACAGTGGGGAGATTAACCACACGATCACACCCATAGTACGCCATACAGAACAGAAGGGCAAATTCAAGACCACATGCTTTGCACGAGAAATGCGAAAAAAACATACGGCATAGTAAGATAACGACAATGCAGTACTTATCTTGAGTACAATCCCCTTACTAAACATGGCACCAATCTTAACTCGATCAGTTGTTTGGTAAAAATATCGAACTTCTCTTTTGCCCTGTGTTGCTTGCTTGTTTCTATTATACTGTAAACTTAGACACGAGAATGCACTGAAATCCTATGTCTAATCAACTATAAGACTATTACTTGAAAAGCTATGGCTCAGTAATCTGTTCCAATAACAGATTTTATCGTTTTTGTCTCTTGCTGTTTAAAATAAAGACTGATTACTTCGCGAAGGTTTATTCGAAACAATTTTATGCTATTAGATGGATCCGTCGACACACACAGGCTCCCCGAAAAGGAGAAAAAGTTTGCTAAATCTGTTAAAAATGACAATCACTGCCTTCGCAACTGTACGGTTGTATATAATAATAATAATAATAATAATAATAATAATAATAATAATAATAATAATAATAATAATACCAATACCAATAACAATAACAATAATAATAATAATAATAATGACAATGATAATGATAATGATAACAATAATAATAAAGTTTTTTGGGCTCATTTAGAAAACTCACTGCGCTTACATTACTTTATATAAGAAAAAATAAATTAGTTAAAACCTGCACAATGTTTCTTATAACAGTAATAAGTAAAATAAATGAAATATTTAATTTAAAAATTAGGTGACATGAAAGCTAGGTACAATTCCTCATGTAATAAATCAAAAATCAAATTTCCGGGACAAGAATGTTTTGAGAGCATATTTAAAAGATGACAGAGATGTATTTTTAATAGAATCCGGTAGATTGCTCCATACTATAGGTGCGGAGAAAGAAAAGGCACGTTCACCGTATGTCACAGAGTTCACAGTAGGGACAGAAAAAAGTAGTTTCGAGGATGAGCGTAGTTGCGAGTGGTATTGTTGTAGAGGGGACGACAAGTAGGCTGGACAAAGTCCAGGGATAATCTTGAAAGTGTATATCAAGTGTACTTACAATATCTCCACTCCTGCCACGAGCACACTAGCTTGGTCTTGTCTCGTTTGGAACGTATTCATGGGACCGAGATTATTGAATTCTTATAAGTCTGTAAATTGGCTTCACAAACACTTCAAACTCACCTGTTGTTCTTACAGCTGTTTAACAACATCTCCAAAATCAGCTGTTAATTTGCTTTCCTATCTGGAAAATATTTTAGAAACTGTACGTGGCTTGCCTCCTAGTTTTATTGGAAAGAGTATAGTATTTCCTTGATGATGTGTCCCTCCTCAAAGAAGTTCCTCTTCTCTCCAAATAATCTAATTTGGCCGCCATGTTAAGTCCTCTGTATGTTTATTCAGTTTATTAATGAGTGTCTCCAATCACTCATTTTTCTTTTCTTGGATCGAAGTTAGAGCCCTTACGGTAAGATTGTATTTGTACAACTTGGTAGCTTATTTTTTCTCTCATTTTTTCTTCTGCTATTTTATTTCATTTGGACCCTGCGTTTGTGCGTCCTGCGAAAGACGGCTACGATGGTTTATAAGTTTTTGCACGGGTTGACTCCAGAATATCTAAGTTCTAAATTCGAGAGGCGAGAAATCGGATATAATCTAAGGGACTTTGAGAATAAACTAAATGTTCCACTGCCGCGCACAAACTATTATAAAAATAGCTTTAGCTATAGTGGCGCCATTCTTTGGAACAGTCTTCCTTGTGACTCAAGGGAAGGGAAGGGAAGGGAAGCAGAGTCCCGGAGGCAGTTTAAACGCCTACTCAAAAGAGATGTATAAGGCACGGCATTCGTGGGAAGCAGCTTTTCTATTTGATTATTTTTTATTACACGAGATATTAGGAGTTTTAGCTGAAGAATTTTTAACCGAATTGAAATAAAGATTGTGTATGTATGTGCATTTGCGCACCGTAAACGCGAACTCTGTAATGCTTCCAAATATAACATTGTATCAAAACAAAGCTGGTTTAATCACGAACATTGACAAAGAAAAACCCGCAATTTGAAAAACAGGGCCACATAATTGAGGAAATACGTCGATTTTCGTAAATATATATGGTAGGTATTGGATTTAATGCCAATAAAAATGTCTACAAACAAAAAAAATATCTGTACCATTCGTTACCAATTCTACAATGTTTCTCAACTACAGTGGTACACGCGCTTGGCATACGCTCTTTTTTTTTTCATAAGAATATTGTTTTTCCGGCACAGGCTGAATATTCTTTTTGGTCGCCCTGTCAATCTGTCTTCCACAGGAATTTCTCCACTGAAACAGCTGTCACCTTTTTTTGTGGATGAAATCCGTAGAAACATAGATAACGGTCTCCTCACTGGGGAGGTCTTCACTGACCTGAAGAAGGCATTCGACACGATAGACCACCATATCCTTCTAAACAAGCTACAGAGATATGTGGCGTTTGTGACAAGACTCTTCTTTGGTTTTCCAGTTATTTGCAAGGCCGTTCCCAACGTGTAGAGGTCGCCAAAGTTCTCTCCTCTCCCCTGGATATAACTTCTGGCGTCCCTCAAGTATCAATTTTGGGGCCCCTGCTCTTTATATTGTACCTAAATGATATGCCCTCTTGTATTTGTTTCTCACAAGTTCTGCTGTATGTGACGATACAATGCTATTTTTTGCCGCTAAAACTGCTATTGAGCTAGAAGCCGGCAAGTCTTAACACAGACACCAACCGTATTTCTTCGTGGATGCAAGAAAATAAGCTTTTTCTGAATATGAGAAAAACTGAATATGTAATTTATGGCTCACATCAAAGGCTAAAGAAGGAGGTTAGTGTTATCTTATCCTATAGTGGACCTCCTTTGACGGAATCTGATTCTTTCAAATATCTCGGAGTCGTGACTGATAAGCACTTGAGTTTTAACAACCATATTGAACACGTGGTCAACAAGGTCTCGAGCAAATTGGGTGCTTTTTGGCGCTTGAGAATCTCTATTCCCATGACTGGAGCTGAACGCCACTACAAGACGATGACACGGGTGTGGAAAAGTTAACACTGATGCCCTCGAGAGACTACAGCATAGAGCTGCGAAGTTAATTTTTCCAAATTATGGTCTCGATACTAAAGAACTGAATGCTACTTTGGGTCTAGTGCCCCTGATTAATAGGCGTAAACTTCACATTGTCTTGTTAACCAGAAAATCTCTTGGTGGTTCATTACCACCTTATTTAAATAATTATTTTTATTTTAATGCCTCTGTACCCACAGCTTCGACTAGATCTTGTAATGACACTCGTATTCCAAAAGTCAACCCAGAGGTCGCCAAAAGATCTCATTATTTCACTGGGGCGATGGAATTTAACGGTCTTCCTCGCCATATTTTCAAAGGAATCCTTCATTGAATTCTCAAGGGACACTTAAGACTTTTTCCTTAATTAGATAATACGTTTTATGTGTAGATGCATACTTTTATATTTTTTTGGCCGTGTGACAATTTTCATTGTGAGTTTTACCTTTTAGACCTTTTGTATTTTTACTTATGTACTCTAATAACAGGACCTCCTTTGATACCAGTGTTGATTACACTGACGGGGTTTATCCTGTATAAATATTATTATTATTATTATTATTATTATTATTATTATTATTACTATTACACTTGTTATTACTATTACACTTATTACTATTACACTTACACTTATAAGGGTTGTAAAGAATGAGTGTAATTTGTAATTCGTTTGTAAGTTAGTATTTCCCTGATATATATATTGTCCTAAGAATTTGTACAGCTGTAATTTTTTATAAGCCACTAATAAACATTATTATTATTATTATTTAAAAAAAAAAAGAAAACTATTACACTTATCATTATTATTATCACTATTACAATTATTATTATTATTACTATTACAATTATTATTATTATTATTATTATCATTATTATGAAAATTCTTAGATTATAGCGTATGACATTTCTGCTTTCGAATGTGTTTCTGGATGGTGTTAAAGTAATATTGGAGCCAGCCTGCAGGCATTTACGCCTGATATCACGCATATAACTTCTTGCAAAGTTAAGATGTCATCAGCATGGAACATACGGCTAGTGCTGTTTTTGTTGCTTTTTGGCTAGTTCTGCCATTTACAGAAAGGAAGAATTTTATACGGTTAACTTAAAAACAAATTTTCAACCAAAAAATTCCGACAGTTATATTCTTTTCAAAGTCTTAGCCTCAGGTCTATCCTTAAACTATTCTTAAAATTTCGCAAAT